AGGCTTGTGTCGCTTAAGTTTCGTCGGTACGAAGTTACGGAAAATCAATTAACACACGGAGACGTAACAATATAATTAATCACCTATGAGCATTGATTACATCAATTAATGACAATCAAGATTGATGTTTTTGGTTTTTTCAACTATCCAAACAACATAAATATTGCCATTATGATTTCTCATTATTATTTTTGATTAATTCAAGGCTCTTCAGCTTAATCAATTACTGTCATAACTCCCAAAAGAAATCAACTAATTGAAATAAGTGTTTGAGATTATCATTGTTTTTGATCATTCAAACTATCCAAGTCTTCATGTGAGAATAACTGATTAGTTGAATGTAAAAGACTAATGAGCCTGACGATGAAATGGTTATCAAATTCCGCTAATCATCCATCTCTACCATGGAACATTATTTTCATTATTTTCCACTGCTTACTTGTAATATAGTTGTTTTTTTTTCAGTTTGAGCCATGTTAAAACGTATAGTTAGCCTTTGGATGGCATTGGCGATTTACTGGTTTCACTGCAATTATCTAATTTGAAATAATATGACGATGTTTTAAAACAGCTGTGAAAATAATTTTTATCATTATGAAAATGTATCAGTAGATCAAGCTTAGTAAAATCTGTATTTAATCATGTCCCCTAGTTACTCTGCAGTAATGTTGTGTTAAATGAATAATTATTTTTGCTGTAAAGTATGTGGATGTAACATACAAATACATAACAAGAGAGGCACCGTTAATGTCTTGCTAACAGTGATTCTAATTCTTACATTTGTTTAATATCAAAATAGGCCTTTTTTTTATACTTGGACTCCAGATTTAAGACTAGAACTATTTATATCTTGATTTTTATGTTGATATATTATTTAAACAATACAGGTATAGACCAGCTAGAGATAATTTCTGTTGTCTTTGAAAATATTTTTCACATTTACTCTTGTGTAATGATAAATCATACTCTGCAGTATTTTAGTATTAAAAAACTACTTACTTAAATAACATTCTGCTCTAAAATTTATTGAAAAATCCTTTGAATGTCATAAGTTTAGTTACATAAATATCATAAATATTGCATGCTATGAGATTAAGGAAGGTATAATACTTACTGAGATTATGACTTTAATAATGACACAAATTGTTGAGAAATAATGTTCAGTTAATTAAATATTGTTTATTCCTATTGTTTTACTTTCAGAAATGTGCCAGCAGAGCACTGAACTCGCTCCCTCACTGTTATCCCATGAGGACTCTGACACTTTTCCAATGGAGATAGAATTTCTCAACTCTCAAACTATGGAGTTGCTCCCTACAATAAAAGTTTCTTCACATCAAGATTTAGTTGAACAAGAATCCCAGGCTCAGAATCAATCTCAGTCCAAAACAATAAATGATACTCCAATAGAAATGACTATTACTTCTTCTACAGGTCTGCACATAGTGAATAACAGCCCTTCAACCTCACAAGGGCATAATTCAGTGGAAACAGTACCTATTTCTAGAGTTTCAGATGTGAGTCAACTGAGAGAAATGTTACAAAACCCAGGTCTCCCAATTCAACAACTTCCTAGAAGCAGCACTAACTTCAATCTTAGCATCAGTACTGCTCCATCAAAAACTGATAACACTTTTGTGAATGATTCCATTGCTACTTCCACAGCAGGACACCTTCTTCCTGTACTGATGCATAGTAATTCACTTGGTCTACACAGAGGAGGAGAAGAGGTCTACAAGTTTAAAAAAAACATTAAAGAACGGTTTGCAGCAGACTTACAGCAGCATGGGCCTTCATCTCTGAGAGCATCAGAAGATAAAGTAATAAGTTACCAAGAATTCTTAAGACATCCTTCCATGGTCGATACACCAAGTAGATACTCACCAGTAAGCATTACAAATTCTTGTTCCAGTGGCCAGCAGTCTTCTCCAGTTAGCTGTGCAGAAGAGAATTCAGTAAAGATTCCTGAAATCAATACTTCAGAAAATGTTCCCTCTTCAGTTAGAGGATGGGATAATAACACTGACTCTAGCAACAGTTGTGGATTTAATCTAAGTCCACCATCAGTTGTCAGATATAATGGCATCAACAATAGTTCTGGTTATAGCATTGGCAATGAGATGTCGTACACCGCAAAAACAAAATGTAGTAACCCAAGTGGACCATCTTCTTACACATCAGAAGAAGATATAGTTCTTTGTTCAAGTCCACAACTTCCATTAATAGTTCCAAGCATTCCTATATTTGCTTTACATCCTAAAGGTTCCTTCTATATTCCTCTCACAATGGACTTGGCTCTTCTTTCTCCTCTTATCACTAGTTTAGATGAAAACATTCCTGTCCTGCATCCTGTTAGCATTTCTGTAAATTTTACTTTTGGTCAACAGTTAAAGATAAAAGAAAGGGAGGATAGTAGCATGGGAAAAAACCCTCATTAAGATATACCTGTCTCCATAATTTCTATGTTGAAAAGCCATGCACAGAACAAAGTACAATACTAAGTCCTTGTAGTCTTATGCCACATGTGAAGTAGGACATAATACATACAACATAAGTGTAATTATGGACTGTATTTGGAATGGAAAAGACATATTGATAGATAGAAAACATTGTAGTTTTGCAGTAATTCATAGATAAAGTATACGTATACACATACATATATCTTTCCTTTTCTGTTAATATAAATTTATTGAACATGTTCCAGAGGGTGGCCACAGATTTCAGTTATTTATGCCTTTTTTCCCCCAAAAAAATCATATGAAACCACAAATAGTGGATATTTTGCTAACTTTACAGACACAAACACACCCATCTTTGTGTCTTTGTTTGTGGACAGTTTAACTCAAAACATTTTCTTCTGATTTTGGGCAAATTTGTACAAGCACTGTGTGTGCCACTGAAGAATCAGTTGATTAATTTTTGGTGAATGCAGCACAGAGGTCACATTGAAAGTCAAACACTTTTGTTATAATGGTAGCAAATTTGAGGACCCCAGTGACACAGTGGTAAGTCTGTGGACTTACAATGTAAGAAACCGAGTTTCAATACCCATGGCGGGCACAGTGCAGATAGCTCATTGTATAGCTTTGTGCTTAACCACAAAAAAAACAAAGCAAATTGTGATTTTTGTCAAAACTTGAGAACAAACTGAGAAAGAAAAAAGTTATTGACACCCAGGCATACATTTCTGAGGACAAGGATAGCACTCTCAGAGTTCCTTTCTAGTTTTATTTTTTTATTGTAAAAGTGGTCTCTTAGCATAAACCAAGAGTCATTGGGAAAATTACCATTGAATCTTATTACACATCACAAAAGTATATTTAATTTGTTTGTAAGTGGTTTTGTTTGAACTTCACTGTCATTTAATCCACATCAGCTGAGCATAGAGTTAGTAGGTAATATAACTGATAACATATTAAGTGGGGGATAAGTTACATATTATTGTTGTTTATGATAGTGCTATTGTTATTGCTCAGGCAATATTGATACTAAAATGTTATATCTTAGTGAAAGTTCTTTGTGTTTAATGAAACTTTTGGTTCAGAAAGAAAGGCCAGTGAAATGTTGTATCAGTTTACTGTATAAGTCTTTCAAAACGAAAGTTTGAATAAAATACGAGTAAAACTTTAGAATTAATGCTGATAGAGGAGTCAATATCTGGTTTGGATTCACTTACAAGAGTTATATTTGTACAATTATTTGTAAAGCATTACGTGACAATATTTTAATTGCGTGACTTTCAAACATAATGTATTTGAAGAATAAAATTTTAAAACAAATTGATTAAAAATGTCAATATATGACACTATAGCTAAGCAAATTAATCGATTAATTGCCACTTGTAAGTAATCAGTTGTTCGAAATTTGTGTTTCTGATTAGTACTGTTATTGATTATTGCAATAACTGATTAATGTCAGGAAAATACAATTAATCGAAACTGATTATTACTGTTATTAATTATTCCAGTAATTGATTAATCAAAATTATGATTAATTGACTTAATGTCACTAAAATACAACTAATTAAATGGAAGGCAACTGGCTGGCAGCACCAGCCACCAACTCTGGCTACTGTAGTGTTGAATAAAGGCTATCTAATCACTATCATTTATTGTTTTGTACATTGTGTTATGTTTAGTGTATTATTTAATGTTGTATAAGCAGGCATGGAGCTAGAGGAGGGGGCCCAGGAGGTATGGACCCCTCCTGTGTTTTCCCAGAAATTAATAACTATTCTTTAATGTATTAGCAGCCGAAGATTGAGGGAAGAGGGGTCAGGACCTCTTTTTTTTTGATAAATTAAGAACTACTTATTAATTTTTGCAAGTAGATGTGAATTTAGGGAAGGGGTCTGGACCCTGCACCATAGTTAACAGTACTACAGTTACATTAAGATAAACTTAAAAGTATTGCTAGTAGAGGTCTAGTTGGACACACACACCCCCAACAAACACACACACAAAGTCCTGGATCCGTCCTCGATAAGGTGTAAAATCTGTTTTTTACATTGTTTATTAATTTATAACTTGCGTAACTTTACTCATTATTGTCAAATAAAGTTTTGTGTTTTTTATTTTTTTTACATTTGTCTGTGTGCTATGTTTGTAACACCATAATTCTTACTTTACTGAATTTGCGTTCTGGTGGAAGTTGTGACATGCACTGGCACATCTGGAACACTGAACTTTTTGATCACCGGGCGAACACTGCCGAATATGCAACCTCTCCTTCCATTCCGAAACACAATTCTTTATCCACGTTTTCATGCCAGCCTTTTAATGACGTGATAAAAGTAAATTTACTAATAGTACACATTATATATTTGACAGTAATCTAACAAATCAATAATAGATAACATTTTTAACTTGAGTTAATCGTTAGCTTACTTATATGAACAGAACTCCAGTTTAGTTATGACTAATTCTACTACATGTACGTTGTGAGAAGCACTGGAAAGTGAAAACAAAAGTCTGGCTATAGTCACGTGCAGCTTAGACAAGACCTAGTAAGTAGTAATGCTAATATATACATGTTGTTTATCTTATTGGTTTCCCAGCACATGTATTTGACAGTTTATTCCAGCCAGTATTGTAAAACGTGTGCGTATTCAATTTACATGCCGTGCTTTCGCAGAATTCCTTGTAATATATGCAGGAGGTTTTAATAAAATACAGAACACAAAAGCCCTGTGTTCCTGAAGAGTAGATACAAGAAGATAACTTATCGATTTAAATTATCTAATTATCTTATCTATTCCCTAATGGTTTTCAAACTTTGTAGGATAAAGTTATGACTGTCAAAACTCTTATTTTACTAAATAAATTGATGTTATTTTAATTTTTATGTTGTTTTTGCTCTAAATTTAGGCTACTCAAAGAATACTAAAAATAATAGGTTTTTACTTTTGCTAAGTACATATTTGCCAAAATTAAAAATATTGTTACGCCTCCGAAGAAACTTTA